GTTCCCTAACTGCCCCCTCCCTAAGCCCCCCCAACCTGCCCCCCACGGACCCTACCCCCTACCTGTACCCTGACTGCCCAAAACTTCTCCACTCCCCTCCAAAAGCCCCTCCCCCCCGTTTCTTGACTGCCCCCTCCAGAACCTCCCTGGCCCCCTTACCCTGCTGCTCAGAACAGGGTGTTGGTCTCTGTGCGAGCCGGACACATGGCTGAGCTCCCCAGCACAACAAAACCCGGTCCCTGGCCCTGCACAGGGTTGCCGGAGCGGGCTGCAGGAGGAGGAGCTGCCGGCCGGCTCAGAATGCAGGGAGGGGGGGGCGGGAGGAGGAAGCTGCTCCGGAGTCCAGCCCGGGACTTTCCTGCAGCCCTCCCAGCCGCTCGCTCCGCTCTGCCGGAGGAGGGGGGAAATCCCGGACATTGTGAGTGCTTTACAAATTCCCCCCGGACGCTATTTTTAGCACACAAAAGGAGGACATGTCCGGGTAAATCCGGACGAATGGTAACCCTACTCAGCCCTGGCAAGCCTGGGGACAAATTAAGCCCTGGGGGAGGGCCAGGGGAGATGGAGGTGGGGGCTGGGGGAGGCAACAAGGGCTGGAGCCTGAAGCCTTGTGACCAGAGCCCAAAGTCCCGTGGCCGGAGGATGAGGCCCGAGGATGGAGCCTGAAGCTATGTGGCCGGACCCTTGGGCCTGCTGCCATGCAGCCAGCACCCAGGACTGGAGCCCAAAGCTCTCCAGCGAGAGCCTGCCACAGCTGGAGCCCAAAGCCCTGAGCCCCACCACCCCTGGAAAGGTGGGGAACTCACTGGCTGCCTGCTCCTACAGCCTTATGCCCCAGGTGACTCCAGAGTGGGGCAAGGCCCAACCCCTGCTGGTGGCCCCAGCAACCAACACCAAGGCGGTGCATCCAGGAGCAACGGGGAGGAAGCACCACTTTGCCCTTCCCACCCCATCTCCCTACTCTTGCAGGGATTGGGGAACCCAGCTGAGCGAATGAGCAATGATCCAAACTGCAGCTAGGCAGGAGTAAGGCATGGGTGAGGAAGGATCGTTGACTTATTTACTGTCTGTTTTGGTGCCTTCAAATAACGCTGCCTTTCTCGGGATTACTCAGATTTAGAACTACAGATGAGAGCAATACTGGCTGGAAAGTTTAGTCCTATTGAAAGCAGAGCAAGAAGATAAAATCCAATGCCTGATTCAGGTCAATCTGAAATGGGATTTGCTTTCCTGTACAGGACAGGAGCCAAATTCATCCCATTGACTTCATTTAGACTCATTCAATTAAAAATGAAAAGGGTGAGGGAGGAGATGATTATGAAAGCCAGAGGGGATTTTTTTTTAAAGCAGAATGCTTAGCAATCTGTGACTCGAGGCCTTATTCAAAAACACCTAAAGTTCAAGGACTATGCGTTGGCATACACGACACGTACGAGGCGTTAAAAAGCATTTCCTTCCATAGCGTGTTGTGCCAGGCACACAACGCCAAGCTAGCTTCCTTTCACACCTTTCAGTACAGATTATATTTCAAAGTGAATTGAGCATTGTCGAGAGATGCCAGCTTGACAGCCTCGAAGATGTGTACGCTAGTTTCAAGTTAGGGATGGACAAAGTTGTTTTGTCTCATTGCAAACCCGCTCCAGTCCTGTGGGTTTGGGAACTTAACTTGAGCTCAAATGCTAGGTTTGAGCTCTGTTTTGGAGAGAGAATGATAAAAGAAGTGCGGGGGGGGGGGGAAATTAGGATGAAAATTTGATATAGACACTTCAGAAATGAGAGAGAAATGGAGCAAAGGCTGGAGGAGGAAAAGCAAACACAGAGACACAGAGGAGGAAATGAGCAGGGAAAACGAGAGAGAGAAATTCTAATGAAAACAGATACGTTGGGCTAGATCCTCAGCTGGTGTAAACTAGTATAACTCCGCTGGATGTCACGGGAGCTACTCCAAAGTACAGCAGTGAGGATCTGGTTGAGTGAGCTAAAATCTGCCCTGTTGCATCCCTGTCAACTTGAATGGAACTGCACGAATAATTTGGCCCAGTTTAACCCCAGTGCCGTCAACAAGTCAAAGCACTCGCCACGGCCTAGCTTTTCTCGGTGTGCAGGGAGTTTGGGAGCAGTTCTTCTGTACCTAATACAAAGCACAGGCTCCCTTTCAGCTAGGAAAATATTTTTGAATGAATTTCCCTTGTGATGAAAAACGAACATAAGAATGGTCATACTGGGTCAGACCAAAGGTCCATCTAGCCCAATATCCTGTCTTCCGACAGTGGCCAGTGCCAGGTACCCCAGGGGGAATGAACAGAACAGGTAATCATCAAGTGATCCATTCCCTGTTGCTCATTCCCGGCTTCTGGCAAACTAAACATACGTTTAAATTACAGGGGAGGAAAAAAGGTTCATGAACCTTAAATCAGCTTTGCAAATACCCTCAAAGAATAGGCAAGTTTCATAAAAGCTCCAGCTTCCATGTGGTTCACCCACCTGTAGGTTTAAAGTAAATAATAATAATACAGTGCTCAGGGTCACTGATGGCCATATGTGGGCGGGGAAGGACTGTCCCCACAGGTCATATTGGCAGTGACCCTGGGTTTTTTTTCACCTTCCTTTACAGCATGTGGGTGCGGGTCACTTGCCAAATTATCTGGGTATTTCCCACTTAACCAGTTCCCTGCCACTGCAGGGCCTTGGGCACTGGTGCACCTCAGTCCCTCCTGTTCTCTGCCTGTGACACATAAATAGTTTATTCTCCTGTGGGCTGTAATACTTGGTCTAACTTTGATTATTGGGTTTAGTGTGCAGGTGCTGGGGCAGGAGGTCAGGCCAGATGATCTGGTGGTCCCTTCTGTCCTTAAACTCTATAATTCATATATTTTGCTTTTCATCTGTAGCTCTCAAAGCACCTTACAAAGATGGTCAGTATCATTATCCCCCTCTTGCATATAGGGAAATTGAGGCACAGAGATGGGATGTGACTTACCCAAGGTCAGCAAGCAGGCCAGTGTCACAGAAAATAGAATCGAAATGTCCTGAGTCCCAATCCAGTGCTCTGTCCACTGAACCATACTATGGCAATAACCCTGGGCCTTGTTCTGCTCCTGGTTGTTCATCTGAATAGCAGCAAATACATTGCCTTGTTTAATTTCTATTCTCTAATTCTGCTGAATGGTACAGCCCCTAGGGGGTCCAGTCACTAAATCTGCCTGAATCCTTTGCGGGCTCTTTGTTACACTCTTCTGGGTCCCGACTCTGAACCTGACTGTATGTGGATGCGCTGCTCCATGGAGCCCCACTCTCATACACAGTCAGCTGCAGAACGGGGCTTTCACATCCATCCATCCATCAACGCTGATTGAATTTGTTCCCTTCTTCCTAAATGACAGTCAAAACTTCCGGTGTTCAATCTGTTGAGAGATTAGAACCATGAGCTGGCTCACTAATGATCAATCCATTATATATTCATAATTATCAGCTTAAAGGGTTCAGTCTGAAGCACACTGTTTTAGCTTGTGTTTCAGTCCTTTGAAAAATGGCATTTGGGGAAATCAGCAGAGATTTTGTTCAAACTCTATCTGGTCCAGTAAGCGATTCGATAACTCTCCACTATGGGGTTTCTTGCACTTCCTCTGCAGCACTTGGTTCTGGCCACTGTCAGAGATAATACTACATGAGCTCCTGCTCTGATCTGGTCTGACAACTCCTAACACTTGTGTCTGTTTTGCCCAAATCAAGCAGATGCACTTGTATTGTTTTGTATTCACAAAAAAATCCCAAATCTGTATAAAATCCTTAATACCAAATATTAATTTACAGACAAACATCAGGTGCACTAAATGTAGAAACAACGAGGAGTCCTTGTGGCACCTTAGAGACTAACAAATTTATTTGGGCATAAGCTTTCGTGGGCTAAAACTCACTTCATCAGATGCATGGAGTGGAAAATACAGTAGAGAGGTATAAATACACAGCACATGAAAAGATGGGAGTTGCCTTACCAAGTGGGGGGTCAGTGTTAGCATATGCCCAAATAACTTTGTTAGTCTCAAACGTGCCCCAAGGACTCCTCATTGTTTTTGCTAATACAGACTAACACAGCTACCACTCTGAAACCTAAATGTAGGACTACAGCATACCCCCATGTTGATCAATATAAACAGACACACACACACACATCTCTGCATACACTGTCCATGTGCAGACTCATAGAAAAAACATTGAAAAAATGTCTGAATGGCAGTGCCTTCCGAAAAATGATCTATTTAAAAAAATCAACCATATATATCAAGCTTTGTGCATTTCAGTTTGTTTGGACTTTAGTTTATGAATGTAGTCATCTCACCAGGATTACTCAGACTGTGACCTGGGATGAAAGCAGTAGTGGGTGAGAAACTTAGCCACACTGAACCAGACTGACAAGCTAAAACTTGCTTCATCTCAGTCTATATATATATTTTTATATGAAGATATTTATTCCTATCTCATAGAACTAGAAGGAACCCTGAAAGGTCATGGAGTCCAGCCCCCTGTCTTCACTAGCAGGACAAATTACTGATTTTGCACCAGATTCCTAAGTGGCCCCCTCAAGGATGAACTCACAACCCTGGATTGAGCAGGCCAATGCACAAACCACCGAGCTATCCCTCCCCCACACCAGTTTTAATTTACTTGATCATGTCTCAATTCATTTTTTAAAAAGGGGGGGGGCGCGCAGGGGGAGAATGATGGAGCCCCAAGGGGATTTTCATGCAGGAATGTTTATCAATGTGTTACTGCAGGGTTTACTCAGAATGAAAATCTAAGGCCTGTGCGTTGATATATGACACACAGATGGATTCGTGAAACTTGTGGAGCTTGTAAAACAGCATTTTGCTCATAGAAGGTCTAATCAAATAGTCACCGTGGAATTAATGAGCAGTATTTTTCAGCAAAGCACTGTTGGTTGCATTTTGCCCTGTACTACCAGCCGCAGTGTTAAAATGGCTTCAATAAAAAGAACAAGCACAGGTACATATTCCTCGGCTGCAAGAGGGAATGTTTTCTTAATGGGCATATGATGAATATGCTGTTCACGTAGATGATGTGAGCGTATTTCCGTTCTCCCTGTTCAGTAAGCATAGTACAAAATGTGAAATCTGGATACGTCTACTGTGACCCATCCCGAAAGAGTGGAACGGTTGCAAAAAGGAGAGCAAAGAGCAGCTACTTAGAGTCCATGGATTCAGGGCCAAATTCTGGTCTCAGATACACCTATAACTGAGTAGCTCTGTTGACTTGAGTAGTGTCTGCAGGCTTACACTGGTATAATTGAGAGCGATGGAATGTAGCCTGCAGTATGTAATGTATGTGTATGGAGTGCATTCTCTCCCTGCTTCAGCCCCTTTGGGCCACAAAACTTAGGGTTACCATATTTTGAGTGTCCAAAAAGAGGACACTCCACGGGGCCCCGGCCCAGCCCCGCCCCCGCCCCAACTCCACCCCTTCCCCAAAGTCCCCGCCCCAACTCTGCCCCCTCCCCTGCTTCCCGCGAACACTTTGATTCGTGGGAAGCCTGAAGCAGGCAGCAGGTAAGCTGGGGTGGGGTGGGGTGGGGGGAGGAGGCGTGGCCCAGTCTG